GTCTCAACTACATAGTGAGACCCTGTCTCAAAAAACCAAAAAAGAAAAACTAGGGAGCAAAATGAAAGAAAAAGGGAAAAATAAGAAAAAAAGATTAAAAGAGGGAAAAATAGAAGGAAAAAAACCCAAAAAGACAAAGAAGGAGGAAAGAACTCTAAACACCCCCCCACACACAAAAGAAATACCAACAACAACAACAATAACAAAGAGTCCAAAAAACATTCCTCTGTATTTCCCAATAAATGGTTTCCTTCCAGGATCTGCAGTCTTAGAATCCAGCAGGTCATGACCCTCTCCACCCGGCTTTACAGGCTGTGGGTCTGTGAGGTGACTCCTACCATCCCCCGACCTTAGCGACCACCCAAGCTGGGAAGCATCCCGTTCACACACAAACAGGAAAGCAGTCAGACCAGCGATCTCTGAGATCCCTGCTCGGTGGAGGCAGCGGAGTGCGGGCTCAAGCCGACCACTTGGACCCAGTGCTAGCAGTTTCAGATCCACCGGCCTCTGAAAGCCACACTTGCCAGGCCTGGACTCCTACAGAGTGCAGGGCCTGTACTCTTCCTGGCCGAAGCTTGAATTCTCTCTCCACGCCGTCTCCTGTGGCTCTCACCCAGGCACAGTGATGTGGCAGCACTGGGAATCTCGCGCTCTTCTGTGGCTCAGTTCCACGCAATCAACCCCTTCCGAAAATGACGCTGGTTAATCGCTCTCTGAAAACGCAGTGGGTGCTGCTCTGGGTTTCTTCTCCAACTGTACCCCACAGTGAATCGGTCCCTCTTGGAGTAAAGCTCCATGTGGCTTTTGCAGTTTACAACAGCCCTGGGCTTTTCTTGGGGCCAGCACTCCTGGTTCATCCGTTGTTTCTCCTGAAACTGCAGACTCTCCAGTGCTCACCTTCTCTCCTGGGGCACTGATTTCTTTTTTCTTTTTCTTTTTTTTTTGGTGAGATAGGATCTCACTATGTAGTTGAGACTGACCTAGAACTCATCATGTAGCCCAGGCTGCTCTGGAACTCACAGCGATCCTCCTGCCTCAGCCTCCCGAGGGCTGGGATTACAGGCGTGCGCCCCCATGCCTGGTTCTGGGGCACTGATTTCATCCACGATCAGATTAGTCAGTCAGTCGGTGCCCCCGTAGCCCTGTGCTGAGGGGAACCACAATGCAGAACCAGCTGGGAGTTGGCAGGTAGACACAGCCAAGGAGCTCAGTCCACAGGGCATCACAGGGCTGATCTTCCCATGGTGTGGCATGGCCTGACTGCAACTGGGGAAGTATTTACACCTTTATAATACTGTGTCTCCTGTCCATAAGCACAGTTATCTCTTCATTTATTTAGATTCTTTTAAAAGTCTTCCAATAAAGTTTTATAATTTTTTAATTACAGGTCTTCTAGGTGTAAGTTTTACAACATTTATTCCTATCTTTATTGGCTATTATAAATGCAGTATTTAAAATCTCATTCTATATGCTACTGATAGGCTACAAAAGCAATGTATTTTTTTGAATATTGATCATACAGCTAGCTACTCTGCTAAAATTTTTTATTTTGAATCATTTGTCTAATGACTTTTTGGATGTTCTGCTAGGTCATACCACATACAAATACTGGTGGTTTTGTTGTTCGCTAATCCTTAGGTTTACACTAATTAATTAGTTAATGAATTAATTTAGTTCTACTTCACTGTTTAGGACCTTTGGGGAAATGTTAAAAGGAGGCAGAGAGTAGCCAGGCATGGTGGTGCACACCTGTAATCCCAGCATTCAGGAGGCTGAGGCAGGAGGATCTCTGCAAGTTAGAGGCAAATTGGAACTCACAAATAGTGAGTTCAAGGCCAGCCTGAACTACATAGCAAGATCTTGTCTCAAAAACAAAACAAAACAATGGAGTTGGGGATTTAGCTCAGTGGTGCCATGCCTGCCTCACAAGTACAAGGTCCTGGGGGAAAAAAAGTTTTCCAAAAACAAGACAAAACAAAACAAAATGAAAAACCAAAAACAACAACAAAAAAAGCAGTGATCATAATTTTGAAGGAAATTCTAAATTTTATTCATTAAAAATAAATGCTTTTTGGGGCCAGGGATTTAGCTCAGTGGTTTTGCCACCTGCCTCACAAGCACAAGATTGTGAGTTTGATCCCCAGTACCCCCCCAAAAAAGAAGTGCTTTTCTTATCACATTAAATAATTTCCTTCTAGCCAGGCATGGAGGTGCACACCTGTAATCCCAGCACTCGGGAGGCTGAGGCAGGAGGATCACTGTGAGTTCGAGGCCAGCCTGGGCTACATAGTGAGTTCCAGGTCAGTCTCAACTACATAGTGAGGCCCTGTCTCAACCCCCCCCCAAATTTCCTTCTAATTTTTTAGGTATTTATTAGAAAATCTACTGAACACTGTCAACACGTACTTTTGGGTTTTGTTTTTAGAATCTGTTAAGATATTTTTTTTTTTCTTCTTAAATCTACTAATGTAAGTTTTTAGTTTGGACTCCTTCAAAAGCAAAGCTGGAGCAAGGACGTAGGTTCAGGCAAGTTCTGTGAGAGATGATTCCAGGGAGTAAAGCATGTGCAGGGTTGGGAAAGGGAGGCGGAAAGGAGGGAAAGCGAATTTCAAGGAGTTGGGTCACGGTGCAGCGGGAGGCAGAGGGAGTCCGTGGTGCCGAGACCTCAGAGCAGACAGAGCCAGCAGGAGGGAGGGGCTGGAGCGCATCCCAGGCTCCCGTCACCCTTTAGGGTTACGGTGCATATTAAGGACCTTAACTCTCCCTCACTCCGAGAGCATTAAAGATGTCCCCGAGGACAAAAACAAAGGTGAGGGGACACAGCTTGCGCAAAGCAATCCACTGTCTGAAGGTGAAGTGAGGAGAGTCGCCGTGATGAGACTCGAACCACCACATCTGAGTTTCCGACGTAGCAGCTAACGTTTGTTAGGCGTTCCTTCTACGGTTATGAACGCAACGCAAATGTAATGTCTTACATTTTTCATACGCCGCAGGTTTGATTTACTAATATTTTTTACTTATAATTGTTGAGTTTATAAGTGCTATCGGATTTTAATATTCCTTTCTTGTGCTTTGCTTGTCTTGTGAAGAAAAAGTAGCAATACAGAAAGAGTTCAGAGTGTTCCTCCACCTACCATTCTCCAAAAGTTTTTATAAAAGTAGATTTACCTTAGCTAGCCATAGTGGTATAACCCCAGCTGCTCAGCAGACTGAGGCAGGAGGATCACAAGTTCAACCCCAGCCTGAGCAATTTAATAAGACTCTGTCCCAAAATTTCAAAAATTTTTAAAAGCCTGGGGCTGTAGCTTGGTGGTGGAATACCCCCACTACCACAGATTTCCAGTACCACAGAGAAAGAGGAAGAAAAAAGAAAGAAAGAAAGAAAAAGAAAATTAGATTACCTCAATTTGAACATCTATAAAACTATGCTGAACTGCCATTTTCTTTATGGAACAATGTTAATTTTAAAAAGTTTCTTTGAGGGACTGGGGATTTAGCTCAGTGGTTCTGCTGCCTGCCTTGAAAGAGCGAGGTCCCGAGTTCAATCCCTGGTACAAAAAAAAAAAAGTCTTTGAGACAGGGTCTTTCTCTGTCTCTGGCTGGCCTTAAGCTCACTGTGTACCCCAGGCTGTCCTTAAACTCTCAGTGACCCTCCTGCCTCAGCCTCCCAAGTTTCTAGACATATGCCACCATACCTGGGTATGGGAATGGGAAAATTTAAAGTTGCTGATTCAACTTCTTAAATATTATAGA